ATCACCTCCTTCAAGTGCACAGTTAAAAGCCGTTATATTACCGTAATTACGTAGCACTTGATAAATTTGCCTTAAAAGTACTCTGAGAGCAGAGGAATGAACTGAAGCTGATCTTAAAATCCTTAACTTACTGTAACATTCGGAGTTGTCATCATAGCAAGACATGCTGTGACCTTGATGCCTAAACTCTACAGTATCATCATCACTATCAATATTATGAGATTCGAAAAATCTTTTGGCATACCTTTCAGTATTGCAACCATGATCAATGGTATATAAATAGTCCATCAGCACATTGATGGGTTTTTTAAATACATCAAAAATTTCCAGAATAACATTAATTTCAAGATCATTCAGTTGCTTGCAATTATTAGTGCATTTCCATTGTTTAGATTTCGCTCCACTCTTTAAACAATGGAATTCAGCAAAATGGCACTGACCGTAACAATCAACAGGAATAGGTGTTTTGTCACATTTCCTGTCAATTTCAATATCACTACATTCATCATGCAAATCAGATAAAGCAGAACCTTGTTTTAATGCACAGGCAGCTTTGTGCTTTCCTTTTAATTGAGCAGAGGAACTTTTACCACACTTCAATTTTGTGTACTTGTAGGCTGTTTCATAAAAGTATGGTTCTCCACTAGCTACATGGCAACCATCACCAAAGTCAGTGAGGCTTGCTGCTTCACAATTCTTGACTTTAAATATAGCTTTATAAAATTGTGAAACTTGTTCTTGTCTTTGTTCTATTGCAAAGTTTACAAGTTTTGTAGCTGCGTATCTACAGGCAGTATTAAACAAGGCAGTAGGAGAAAGTTTTTGAGCAAAAGGATAGTTATTCTGAAAATGATACACAACTTGAGTTTCTACTGCCCGAAGTTCAAGTTTTAATATCCTCAAATATCTATAAACTTCAAATTTCTTTGGTTTTCTCAAAATATATCTAGACTTTCTGGCAGCTCTTATTTTATCACATCTTTTTCTATAATATGCTCTATTCTGCCTCTTTTTCAGCAAGGGATTAGAAAGTCTCTTTGCTCTAGCATAAAGTGTAGCTGCAAATCTTTTCTTGTAAGGATTTGCCAAATATTTACATCTTTTTTTACTTCTTATTTGAAACCAATTTTTCCAGTAATACAAGCTTACCATCATCCTTTTTCGGGGGCGGTTTTTATTGAAATTACTTTTAACTTGGGCTCGTTTTCTCAGTTTTTTTTCCTTCATTTTTTGCTGCCTGGTGAGTTTTTGTTTCTTTCTTATAATATTATGATTACTACCATTACCACTAGTACTATCTGAAGCACAATTACTTTTATCAAGAGCAATTTTATTACTATCATGAGCAAAGACATTAATATCATCATCACCTAAACTGCTAGGAGCACTATCAGACTTGATCATATGGGCCTCATCACTATCAATTTTAACCTTCTTTTGCTGATATTCCTTGTGCTCCGAGCAGATTTGGGATATTTTCTTTTCCGAGGCATTATAGTAAACTAATGAGTAGAAACAAAACCATGAAAGTAACGGAATGGGAAACACAGTATTAGTGGAAAAATGAAATCAGTAACTCAGTATTGTTTATTTTGCATTGCTAACAGAGCTAAAACTTCATTGTTTATTATACATTGCTAACAGAGCTATAACTTCATTGTTTTAATTCATGCTTTACTCATCATAGTCTATTCAAAATTAGAGTCTATTTCCCTTACTTAAAGAGAGTGAAAGTGAATTAAACAGTACTGATGGTAGAGGAAAAAATTCACAGGAGAATAAATAGAGAACTTGAAGAATGAAATAACTAATGATATAAAAAATGATATATTAGTGACAGCGGCATTTAAATTAATTTTGTCTGACTTGAAGAGATGAATAGAGTTAGTGAAGCTGAATTAAGGTCAGTAATGTAGGCCGAAACACTGGAGACATTAAAAGTGGAAGACTTAAATATAATAGAAGATATGCGTGCTAAGTTATTCATAGCTTTTAAGTACCGTATATCCAACCCACACAGTAAAT